CTATCTATCTATCTATATATATATATATATATATATATATATATATATATATATGTGTGTGTGTGTGTGTGTGTGTGTGTGTGTAGTGTGTGTGTGTGTAGTGTGTTCCTTAATTCTGTGCACATAGAAAATCGCATTAACGATATTTTCATTTACCTCCCCAGTGTGGACGTGGTTTTGTCGAAAGAAGAATAAATTGACGGTAAAGGAGAAGGTGTACTCAATGAAAATCACATATGCAACACATTTGATTGAATACGTTAAGAGTGAATCTGATAATACTGACTCCAATGTGGAGTTATTGTATCGAGTTCACGTGGATCTTGCAAAACGCATCACTTTGCATCCGAAATGATGGAAATTATATTGAAGATGTTATTTGTCATTATTCTAATTCATTAAATTTCCTGAAAATATGCACTGTTGCCTCTGTCCAGACATTAGGGATACTGTATATATATATATATATATATATATATATATATATATATATATATATATGATGGTGATGATCATGGACTCTCCTGTCGATTTCGACGTATGAGGTTCCGACAATGTTTGAATCTAGAGTGACATTTCAGACCTGCTAATGACTTGCAAAGAAAGCCACAGATTAAACAAGCGTCTGAGCAAAGAGGGTGCACGTCTCTGGCACCCTCTGAGGCTTTTTTTCCTTTCTCTTGCTTCACTGAGCTTGACAACGCTTGCCGCCGAAAAATTCCTGACTCCAGTGTAAGTTACACTTTTCCAAGCTTTGCGATCCAAGGCAGTATTCTCCAAATCAGTGTGTGCAATATTTGCAGCTGCAAGGTTACTTTTCGGCTTATCTTTAAACCTGAGCAAGGGTCGGCCAACATTCCGTTGACCACCTTCAAGCTGGCTGTACATGAGATTATTTGGAATTCTACACACACACACACACACACACACACAAACACACACATATATATATATATATATATATACTGTGTATTTGGGCAGCTTATTTGGTAAAAGGCGACTGAAAAGGTACTTCGATTAGACTTTAAATGATTTTTCTTGTGTTCTTTTCTGGACACACTCTGTATAGAGACTGGCAAATAAAACATTCCTATAACTCCAGACACATACTTAAATGAACCAAATATTCAGTTAAAAACAAAATATAAAATGGTCCTTGATGATAGCTAAAATAATAGTCGAAAGCGGACGTATATGCAGAACTTTCGGACAGACAGTTTTAGCGACATTTTTATAACAGGGATTTATTTTTAAATCACTCTGTATATTTTAATATATATATATATATATATATATATATATATATATATATATTGAACAATAAAAAATAAAAAAATTAAAATCTTCAGACACACTGGGTTGTAGATTAATATTCTTTCGTTTTTTTTATTACTTCATTTAGATTCCTCGACTAGTTTCGGTCAAAATGGCCATCATCAGGAGAAGAAATATTTCTGCTTGCTGGTAGCAGTGAACTACAGAAATGAATGTCTTGATGGAGAAAATGAACTTTTGTCTGTAGTTTTCATTTGTTTTTTTTTTATTTTTTTTATCTTTTTAACATGAATCTTTTAACATTCCTTGTGTTGGTCAAACAGTTTCTTTTAAGTTGTTATTTGAGATAAGAGCTGGATGGATGTATGCTTCTCTGAATTCCCCTGGACAGTTTGACAGTTTTATTGGTCCTGGAGCGGGGATGTGTCTCTGTTTAGTGTTTGTGCGTGTGTTATTTGGTTCTTAGGGAGTGAGTATGATATGTGTAAGCGTGTATATTGCTGTAGGTGTGTGTTATCATTTGGCTCATTAGGGGAGTGAGTGAGTATGATGTGTGTATGTGTATATTCGTGTGGGTGTGTGTATAAGTGTGAGGCCCTCAACACCTCCGTAAGCATGTCTGTCTTGTGTGGGGAGAAATGTGAGTAGGTTTTGATTTGTTGAGTTATATATTAGTACTATCTATATTTTTAAATCTATGGTTTAGCCCGGCTGGATATTGTGCTTTTAGACGTTGTATCCACTTATTTTGATGGGACTCTAAAATTTTTCTAATGTTATCTGCTCTGAACTTTTCTATTCTCTCAATTATAGTGAATTTGACATGGGTTTTGAAATCTTGTTTTTCCAGGCGGAAATGTTGTTCTACTACAGGTAATAATTTTTCATGGGGAATCGACTTAATTCGATTGGGATAATTATTAATTCTGTAGTGAAAGGGCCATTCAGATTTTCCTACATATTGTTCCTGGCATAGCGTGCATTCTAGGAGGTAAATTATGTTATGACTTCTACAGTTAGAGTCGTGGTAGATTTTGAAAGTAGATTTAGTGATTGAGCTAGTGAATGAATTCGTGTGTTTAATATGGTTGCAGCATAAACTTCTTTTGTTGTTACATGGTTGGGAAAATCCTGTTGTTTTTGTTCTTAGTTTATTACGGATTACCTTGTCTCCTGAAATGTGGTTACTACCAATGATTTCTTTTAGGTTCTTAGGTCTACGATATGCAAGAAGACCTGGTTCCTTAAACAATTTTTTTAGTTCTGGTTTGAGATGTAGTATTTCCCAGCGACTTTTGATTATTTGGGATAGTGGCGGCAGAGTGGGGTTGAAAGTGGTTACTAGAGGGATGCGGCTGGGTTTATTTTTAATCTTGTACATTAAGGTGTCTTCTCTAGGTGTGGAAATTGCGTTATTTATTTGTTCCCTGATTAGGTGTTGTTTATAGCCACGTGTTGTGAATTGATGCTCCAGATTTTCAATGTGTTTATTTAATTCTTCATTGTTGGAACATATCCTTCTGAGTCTAAGTGCTTGTGAATAGGGAAGGTTCTCTTCGAGGTGTTTAGGGTGCGAAGACTATATATACATATATATATATATATATATATATATATATATAAGAAAAAATTATAAGATCACATGAGAAATTGTTTAATAATTAAATCAAAGCAATTTGTAATATTCAATGAAACGTGCATGAAAGAAGGATTGGTGCCTAAATATACACACACACACACACACACACACACACACACACACACACACACACACATATATATATATATATATATATATGAATGGCAAAAAGATAACTTATCTTTCAGGCTTATGCGCAGCGCGCCAAAGACATTTTCATTGTCCTTGGTGTTTTTTTATTGATCAATATTTTCTTTTCTTTACGTGCAATAAATTTTATTTCTCTTTTCCGATTAATTTTTAGCCTGGAATCATTTAATTGATTCCGTAAAAATAGAGTCACATTATTTAAATTACGAGGCAGTATTCAGAAGGATTCATTCGAAAGCTTCATAAATTTTCTGACTTATTTCCTATTTCTGTCGTGTATTGTTGACGTTTGGTTTAACCTCGTTGATTGAGCGAGATTTCCCGAGATTTCATGTCTCCCGTATTCGATGTCGTCCATCTGCTACAAGCCATTTTTCTTTATTTTCGTATTTTATTACTTTATTCAATATTCACTATCATCATCATCTTCGTCATTTTTATCAATTTCATTTTATTTTCGACGATTTTTTTGGTTGCACACATTGATTTAAAAGAATGGTCTCTGGAGATTTTCTTGTATGCCATGTCATCATGACCTGAACAATCATTGCTCTCCATAATTTCCTATATTTTGAAGCGCCTATATAACATCTGCTCATTTACTCCCAGTCCCTGTTCTGCAACCCCCTTTACTAACCTGTCCCCTCCGCCTCTCTTGCTTCATGTATGTAGGTGTCAAATTCGCCAAACCCTCATTCATGGTCATATGCCTAAGGTTTTTTTTTTCAGATCTCTTTCTGCTGGTATGCATGTATTGTGCTTGTTTCTTTTTTTTTTGCTACCGTATAAGCTTCATTGAATTCCAAGCATTTATCTGTAGAACAAAAACCCTGTTCTCTTAAGTCTTTTCATCTGTGAGAATGTTTTATCATTTTGTCCCTATCAAGGCAATAACGCCACTATGACACAAGGGTTTATTGGGTGTGAAAGAATATGAGAAAAAGAAAAAGAAAACAAAAGATAATTAAGGAAAGTGAACTATTGACAATGAATTTATTCTTAAAAATCGAAGTTGAATGAAAAGCAAGAAACCAGAAGAGAGTTCTACAAGCGAGAAGTGGAAAATAAAACACCCCCGAAAATGGAATAAACGCAAAAGATCTCAAGCGTAGTTTTTGCAAATTCAGAATGAAATTGGTGGCGGAGAATGTTACCATAGAACCTACGGTTACAACTAGACATTTTTCCTATTACATCATATTTTAATATATGTAGTCTGTCAAAAATCCTTACTGGGGTCTAATCCTGAGTGGTAAAGGTTCTCCAGGCAAGCGACTCTATTTTTCTTTGTAGTCTTCTTTACAAATCACAATCGCCGAGTCTAGCGCTAAACTTCGCACGCAGAAGCACGACCACTCGACTCGTCGGCGTCTTCTCGGCGTTTCTCGTCTAGTCTCGCAAAATTTCGAAGCTCCGAGAACGAGTTATTCTTAAATGGTAGCTGCTAACGGGAAAAAACCCGGATGTAACTGATGCGATCCATGGTTTCTTACGCGCCCTGGTTGACGCGGGCCCGCAACATTCCCCACGCTGATCTCCTGATCACATACACGACAGCTTGGAGCGGGTCTCTTTCGTCGAGTGCTTCTCCGTAGTGGGACTGATTCATGTCATTCCATCTCGTTCCCATGTGATTCTTCCTCTGTCGTGTATGTGATCAGGGGTCATCTGGCCTATCCACGCTTACGAGGATTTCATTCTTACTTTCGGACATACAAGTTGTGGCCCGCATCAGACATCGTTGGAGGTAATGAATCAATTCTTTTAAAGAGAACCTCGTATCTTACGTAACTGAGTCGGTGCCACACCTGCTGTCCTTTTCCACTTTCCAGTTGACATCGTTTGCTGTTGGAATTCCAGAGAAAAGTCAGGTTAGTCAATATGGATTGGTGTTTCTTTGCTGCAAAATTGTACGGCTCCAGTCTGCTTGATAATGATGCCGCCTAACGCAGTTATAGCATCTATTCCGACAAGTAAAAACCTAGATGATTGTCACGCACCAAAAAGACTTCAACGTTGGCTGAGCTGCTATTGTCTGTGCAGATATAAACGCTCCACAGCACGCCCACAATCTGCCACCGATCGTCTCCATATCTACCTGCTTTCCAGTCCACATCGCTTTGGACTAACGATCGACCGAGAGCAGCTAGAGTCATTCAGAGCTGAACGCCATTCCCAGACGAACAATACGTTGTCTGCAAGCAGCACCGCATTTGATATCTGGGCGGGGAATGAAACTGTAGCTGATGTTCACCCCTGTGATCCGTTTCTCGGATATTTCCGTGATATACATCCCCAGCTTGTCACAGCGATAACACCGTATGGTGTTTTTTCCTCTCCGGCTTCCACTTTGCCCAGTTCATCGACCCGAACAATATCTAGCCAAGGAATTGGCACCACCACATCTGTGACAGACGATATTGCTCTGCGAATCCTTGTCAGAAATCAAGACTGTACCAGTTGCTCAGGCTTTGCTGCTGACACTATCGATTCCGCCGCCACTGTATCGTCCTTCAATATGGTGCCTGCTCTGTCTAATAGCTGGCTGACTTCTAGTGCATCTATTCGATAGGAAGTGCAAAGCAGCTTCTAGACGGGCTCAGGCAACCCTGCTACAAATGCACATGCAAGACTAGTCAGACACCCTACCATACAAGGGTAACAGTCTGCAGATTTTTGCCTAGTAGACGTCCACAGATTCGTTTCCATTGAAGCGCTTAGCTACGAACAGGTCCTATGCTACGAATAGATCTGTGGCAGATGCAACTTGCAGGGCATCCATGATACGGCCTATATCTTTCTTTCTTCCTTGCTGAGTTGTCGGGACACAGCAAACGCACCTCCGACAATCGAAGAGGCAGAACGCTGGTAATGTTCTTTACGCCGCACAAATAAAAGACGAGATCAGCAGCCTTTTCGAACCATTCACCGATAGTGAGGCCACGGTCTGAATTCTCAAATTCAGGGATTCGCTTCAGGTTTAGCTTGCCGTCAGCCATTTGTGCCGAAATAGCTTTTAGTTTAAAATCGAGCGACTGGTAAAATCTCCTTAGTGTGTGTCGGGGGTGGGGGTAGTCAAAAGTCCTCCAGACAAGCCACTCCTTCTTAATCGTAGTCTTGTTTACAAATCACAAACGGTGAAACTTCGCACACAAAAGGACGGCCATTAGACTTGTCGGCGTCTCCTCGGTGTTTCTCGTCTAGTCTCACAAAATCTCGAAGCTACGAGAATGAGTTGTCATTAAATGGTAGCTGCTAACGGGAAAATTCGATCGGAGGCCTCTTTTGCGTCTGTACTGACGCAATATTTGGAGGTCATTTTTCGTAATTCTTTTTCGATTTCTATGTCGCATTTCCGTTATCTTTTAAAAGACTACCCGTATCGTTTAATTTCTGTACTTGTGTAATTATGAAGTATCCGATTTAGAAACCGCATCTTGGGCCGTCACTTTTTGGTGACGATCATAAATTATTTCTTGTAATAATAAATGCTTCGCTTACGTTGACGTGTTTTTAGTCACAACAACACATTCGTTCGTAGATTAATTACTAGGTGTTTCGTGCTCATTAAAGATAGTATTCAAAATGTCAAAATGTCTTGCAAATACCCATATGAGCAGTGAGAAGGAAAAAATCATTTGTGTCAAACAGAAAAACTACCCTATCTCTCCAGTTTTCTTTACATGAGTAGCGTTATTACCTGAATCTGTAATTTATTAAATTTTACCTAAAACTACTTTCAGGGTATATGTCATATATATAAAACTACCTTCAGGATATATGTATAAGCCCTTGTTATGAATGTAAAGGGATATCGGTTTTGTTTGGGTTCCTTTCACAAGCTGCCCTATTTTATAAATGCTATGAACAAATATTCCAAAATCCGGAAAAAAAATCTGAAAACGGAAGCAATACTTTCGGATAAAGGATCCTCAACCTGATATCATTATTATTCGCTTTAATCTCTAAACCGACAGTCGCATTACGTAGATTACCGAAGCGAAAGAACATCGACCCCGGTCACTACCTAGATAGGTTTGAAATTCCAGGTGGTGTAAGCTTGGATGTGCGGGTGGTGTAATTGATAACAGATTGGGGTTGTTAATCGGAGAACCGAGTTCCAATTCCAATTGGGTTCCTTATATTCACTTAAGCGTGAATTGTATGAATCTAACTCTTCTTTCTCTTGCTACGGGTTAAGGAATCTACCTATTCTCCCTCTATCTATGGGTTAATTAGTAAGATTTTTATCACTAAAACCATTCTCCCCCAAAACGAAGAGATGCATACAAAATATTTAGATTTCGGCATTAAATAACACATAGAGGTTTCTATGCTTCTTGGGAGGGATAGCAAGGGAACAAAGTTGGGGAGGGCTACGCTGATGACACAACCACTGTCTCGATCTGATCAGTTTGGTAAGGTCAAAATGGCGGCCAATGTCCAAAACAACCTCTGTTGTTGGGACAAAAGATGTCTTGTTAATTTTAACGCTCCCAAAACTAAGAATCTCTCCATTAATCCTTTGAGACTCCCCTCTTGCCTTCCATCAGCACGGCTGATGCTAACCTCCAGGAAAGTGATTCGTTGAGCCTTCTAGAGGTAACATTCTATAGTTCGGTACCCCGGCTGTTTACCTTAAGCTCCTTGATAAAATCCAGAGAAGAATAATCAATATTATTGGTCCTGATCTGGCGTCACGGTCACTTTCTCACCACTGTACGGTTGCCTTCTATATAAGTACTTTTATGGTAATTGTTCGGATGAACTCTTCGCTATGGTATCGAGTATTTTTGAATTTAAGCGTTGTACTAGACTGGCCCCGAGATCTCATCAGTTTACAATTGGGATGTTTAAATGTAACAATAAAATCTAATCTTTCTCGACCTTTCCGATTGTGGAACTCCTTACCGGCTCCATGCTCTTCAGTCAAGTTTAATCTGCAAAAATTAAAATACAATGCCAATCGCTATCTACCGATTACTGTTTAATCTTCCCGCTCATCCGTAATCTTTCTGTTTCTAATTCTTTCACACTCAGTAAACAGCTGTGTCTTAGTGGCTTTACTGCCTTACTTGGGGTGAAATTCATTAAAAAAAAAATCGATCAACTAGTAACTTAATCATTGAATTTGGCTTCAAGACTTTGGGACGAACGGAATCATATATTTTTCCCAAATCACACAATTTTCAGTTAAGCCTTTCTAAGAAATATTTATGGGATTTTGTTCGTTCAAATGAGTCATTAACATTAACATGTTTTCAAATAATGAAGCCTTTAATACGATAGATTATGTAAAGAAATATAAATCGAATTTAGATTGAAAATCATGTTTCAGCCACAAAGATCAACAATGGATGTTATGTTACTTCTATTTAAAATTGAATGCCTCTGATGGTATTTTATCAGGGGGAAAGTAATCCTTGGGAGTGACAGGTTTAAGCGAATCGGAAATATATTCCCGACAGAAGTCTGGATAAAAGATGAATCTGTGCAATATAAGCAAGACATTCTGAACCTCACAAACATTAGTTGTTGGAGGGGTATAAGCAACATTTTGGAAGAATTACTTTAACTGAATGATGATATAACAATTTCATATATATATATATATATATATATATATATATATATATATAATCCTAACTTTAATTGGAAAAAAAAATTACTACTCACATCAAATGTAGCAAGATCTTTAATAAAAACATCCTAAAATTAAGTTATTGCTGCACAGAAAATCTAGAAAGAATTATAAAAAAAAACATAATAATAAAATCCTGAAAAAACACGCATACCAAAATCAAATAAATAAAGACCCTAAATTAAAATTAGACAAAAGTAATGAAAAATTATGTGATTGTAGAAACCCAGAAAATTGCCCGCTGGATAATAAATGCCGCATAGAATCTGTGGTATACTAATGCACAATATCATCTATCGAGAATCAAAACATTGAAAAGATATATACAGAATCCACGATGAATGAATTTAAAATAAGGTGGAGACAACATAAAAGCTCCTTCAATAATATTAGAAATAGAAATCAGACATCCCTATCAAAATATTTTTGGCATTTAAAAGAAACAAATAAAACACCAAAAGTAAAATGGAAAATAATAAATAGAACAAGAACTTGTAAAACCTGGGATGACCCATGCCCTTTATGCTTACATGAAAAACTAAACATTTTTAATTTTCTAAAAAACGAAAATTTATTAAATCAAACAAATGAGATAATAGTTTTTCGCATTAAATAATTAGCATTTTATAAAAATAAAATTAAAAATTTCAAACTCTATCAACAATTTTAAAGATTTTAAAAACACCACACAATCATAATGTCAAAACCCCTTTAAGAAGTCGTCAACAAAAAAAAACAAATAAATAAAAACAAAAACTACAGGAACTACAACATCAATAAATTAAATTCTTAGCATACCTTAACAAAAAAGAAAAACAGAACTACTACATTAATCAGTTAGAGTTTTAGCAAGGGGGGTCTGATAGGATTAGCCATTGTAGCCAGATAAATAAATAAAAAAAAAAAAACCCAAGACGACACCTCAATTCAAAACTATAAATGAGTATATCATTCCATACCATAGTTATTCCCAAACAAGGGTTGAGTATGAAACTGCCACCCAGTGGTAAAAGGTTTAATATTGGAATTAAACTTAAATACTGCTGACCAGTTTCGAAACATAGTATGTTCTGTGTCATGATGGAATCATATTTAAAAAAAATAATATATATATATATATATATATATATATATATATATATATATATATATATATATATATATATATATATATATATATATATATATATATATATATATATATATATATATATATATGAATGGTGGACTCTTGTGTTCTATTCGACGTATGAGGGTTAGCAACTCAGTTACTAGGAACTGACAGCCAGACACCAGTAGTGTAGTATATAATTAATTTTATTTTTTTACTAGTATCTGTGGTGGATATATAAGTCTTTATTTTTTTTAGGATATTTTGATCTTGTTTATAATTAGACTGCATTTGGTTACGATATAAAAGATTTATATATTTGGGGTTAGTTGAAGAATTATTAATCTGTTGTCTGTAATGAAACACTCGCAGACATTCACACACATATGTAAATTATTTTCTTTTCAGATGATAAATTATATAAAAAAAATGTTCGAAGGTTCTTTTTATATATTTTAGCCATTTTCAAGGATGAAAAAGTTAAATAAGAAATAATTTGATGTATGTATGTATTTATATAATGTTTTCATTTTTCAAAACACGGTCAAGATATTGTGTCCATGTTCTTAGTTGATATTATTAAGTGTTGTTTTTTCTTTAACTAATAAGACTTCCGTTATGAAAATGGCTAAATGTATCGCCGAAAGCGCTTGGATTAAAAGAACATTGAGATAATTTTTATATAATCTATCATCTGAAAA